AAATAGATTTTACAAATAAAAATGCATTAATTTTACTAATTATATTATTAAATTTTAGATTTAACTTTCCAAAATGGAAATTAATGCAATTTTACACAATTATATTATAGATTAATTCATAAATCTGTCTTTTCCTTTACCATTAACCCGTTATCATTTTCCCCCCTGGACAATTTCACAAGCATCACGGGCATCTGAGCACTTCACTTTCCACCTTGTAAAACAAGTTTTGTACACATGTCATGGTACCACCAAATGAAGAGGTCTTGCAGCTTGGCCCTGATCTCAGTTTCCTGGGCTGAGTGAGATCTGGGAATCATCTCAGGCAACAAAGAAACAGATGGACTTTCGGCTTGTGTTTTGCTTGAATGCAAAAGTAATTGATGTTCGTTACGGTTGTGATTGTTCTGGAGCCCTGCGTTCCAGCAGCCTGTAGACCTTGTCGTCTTGAGAGATGCGTGAGGAATTGAAAGCTTCCAACTGGACCATTTCATCCAGTTGCAAAGCGTCATGTTGATTCAAGACTCAATCTGTGCATCGTTCTGTTTATAATGTGAGGGAATTCTTCGCTCTTTTAATGTCGGGAGAATGATACAGTTCAGGGGATAAAGAGCTAAAGCCTTGTCTTTAGAACACGCTGGAAGTGTAAACATCTTTGATCTTCCCATGCTTTGAAAGCCTGAGGAATTCATCTTCCGCTCTCTTGACGGCACGGCGGGTTTCTGCATCTCTGGGCTTTCATGGCACAGTTACCTTCCAGTGCTGCTCCCTCTGTGCCCTCTCTGGCTTTCTGTTTTCACCCTTCTCTCTCGCTCCGATCCCTTCTGCCCAGAGCACAGCGCTGCTTTTGTCATTCTAATGAATCGCGCTGAAGCCAGAGATGTCAGCAGTCTGATTCACACATTATTCTCTGGCTCTTTGTCTCTGTGACGATGTGTTGGAGTGTGTGTGTGTGTATGTGTGTGTATGTGTGTGTGTGTGTATGTGTAGCATTTCCGGACGGATGGCGTATAGAGGTCGGCTTTGCACATGCGCTGCTCAGAAGTGACGCACACGGAAACGCAACGGAGAGGATTTCGATATAAGCCACGAGGAGATTGGTTTTCCTTTGCTAAAGTAAGGAAACTTTGCTTCCTTTGATCCTGTTAACAAACGTTGGTTTTCACGAGAATCCCCGGTGCATGCGCAACGCTGACCTCATACGTCATGCTCCCGGAACTGCTTCTGTGTACAACTGTTGGCGCAAGATGTGTGTGTGTGTGTATGTGTGTGTGTGTGTGTGTGCACTCTTAGAGACTGAAGAATTGGTGAAAGCCTTGCAACAAAATTTATGTTGTTATTCACTAAAAATCTCAATATTCCTCGGTCTTCTTGGTGTAGCAGTGAACAAATCATTTTGAATCAGAACCTTTCAGTGAGTCAGTGAATTAATTTAGTTCACAAAACCAGTCTGAATGATTTGTTCACAAATTGTACTGATCCGGGCAGGCCTGCTTTATTATTGCAGTTAAAAGGATAGTTCACCTAAAAATGATAAATTTTAAATATTGTTTTAAACCTGAATGACTGACTTCCGTGGAAGTTGTTCATATACTGAAACTGAATCGGGCTTTCAAGCTCCAAAATTACAAAAAAGCATCATGAAAATGTGGTCCATACAACTTTTGCACTATATTCTAAGTCTTTTAAAGTCCTATAAAAACTTCAGACCAAAATTTATGTTGTCATTCACTAAAAATCTCAATATTCCTCGGTCTTCTTGGTGTAGCAGTGAACAAATCATTTTGAATCAGAACCTTTCAGTGAGTCAGTGAATTAATTTAGAAAACACAGGCTAATTTTTATTTTTGGGTGAACTAAACCTTTAAACATGAGCGTGGAAAAAAATACCGGACAGAGACTGAGACGGTGCCGCTGCATGTTGTGCCAAACCTCGCACAGCAGGCCCGTCATCAGCTTGAGATCGGTTTATGAGATCGGCCTTTTTAAATACTGCCGTTCAAACATCCCAAATCGGGCGATTATCGGCCGATAGTGATCGGTAACCGATCAATCGGAGCGAGCATGGACTTTCTTTCTCGAAAGAAAATTCATGCAATCAAAACTTTGAAGATCCAAAAAGGTCATAAAGGCGTCATAAAATGAGTCCATGTGAATCAGACAGTTTAATACAATTTGTGAATAGATATGATCTCTTTTTATGATGGACAAATTTAATGTAGGTTTTACTTGACTTTATATTTTGACTTTATTTGACTTTTCAACGCACATACATAGAGCACATCAAATATGGTGAACACCGAAACTCAAATGTTTGTGCATCAAATGCTAGAATAAACCTCATGGGTTCTTATACATCACGCACATTTGAACTTCCGTGTTTACCATATTTGATGTGCCATTTATTTGTCGTCATTGTTTATATGTGAATAAAAGCCTAAATAAAGTCTGTTCATCATAAGCAATTATATCTCTTCACAAAACTTGGATTAAACTGGTTTGTATTGATTTTACGATGCATTTATGACATTTTTGGATGCATTAAATTTAAATGGAGGGACCGAAACCTCTCAGATTTTACTAAATATATCTTAATGAATATCTTAAAAGTAAATGATGACAGAATTGTACATTTGGGGTGAACTATACCTTTAAAGGCTCACTGGAGATTGTTAGTGAATAACTAAAAGTTTGGTATGTTCATCACACAGAGCTATAATGTGATTTTCAAAGACTTGCGTGAACTGCTTTTATGATGAATGATTTATTTGGATGACTTATTTCTTTAATACTTAAATATTGTTTCAGGTAATGGCGATGAGCCAGCATATTCGTGTTGAAATTTGACTACACATACATTTTGAAAATGTCATTTTTTTTTTCAAAGCCTGTCTTAATGTGTTCTGGGAAGCTGCTGAAGAGCATTGAGATTGAGTGTACTGTTTTCCCCTTCTCGCTTCAAAGCCTGTCTTAATGTGTTCTGGGAAGTTGCTGAAGAGCATTGAGATTGAGTGTACTGTTTTCCCCTTCTCGCTCCTCCGACCCTTGTGCAAAGGTTATGAGCAGTGCTACTGGGACACGTGTTTGCCTTTCCACTCCAGAGAACTGCCCGCTGTGACCTACAGCTCCAGCAGATCTTCTCGGTGTGAATGTCTTTTCTCACAGAAAGAAAAGGCTTTTCCATATGCTATTCCATGTTTGCTTGACATAAAAACTTTGAGTATCGGTTTCAGAAATATTTCTTAATGGAGAGTGTCACGTCATACCTGACTTAAGGATTCTACTGTCATTTACTCACTATGCTCTTCCAAACCTGTTTGACTTTCTTTTTGTGAAGATTGTTCAAAGAATAACAGCATATGGGTTTAGAATGATATCAGGATGAGTAAATAATGACATTCATTTATTTGAACTATTACTTTAACGCAACTATACAAAACATTTAAAATACTAAGTAGGAATGTTGCTCTAAATGGAAAATGTAAATACATTCAGATTCTTAATATTGTGTTAATGATAATAGTGTTAAATGGTGATACCAAGGTACTTACAAGGTAATTATTACCATGTTCATATAACACTATTTACATGTGCGTGAAAAAAGAATACCATGGTATTACTATGGTACATGTAAAAAAAGTGATACTTTTTTTTTTAAGCTAGTGAACCTTGTTGTTGATGTACTTTTTGCTGTCAATAGGAACAATTAAATAGATTAATATGCTAACATTCATAACTAATATTTTTATAGAATATTACCATTACCAGTTTGTGGTCAGGAAGATTTCTTGGGGGAAAAAAAGTCTATGCTCACCAAGGCTGCATTTATTTGCTCAAAAATAATGTAAAAACAGTAATATTGTAAAATAATTTAACAATTTAAAATAGCTGTTTTCTGTTGGAATATATTTTAAAATTTAATTTATTTCTGTGATCAAAGCTGAATTTTCAGCATTATTACTCAAGTCTTCAGTGTCACATGATCCTTCAGAAATCATTCTAATATGCTGATTGGCTGCTCAAGAAACATTTCTGATTATTATCAATTTTGAAAACAATTTTTATAAAACCGTGGCACTTTTTTAAATGTTGCTGTTCTTAGAGAACTCCTATAATCATTGATTTCACCTTAGGGTCCGTTTACACGACAACGTTTTCAACCAAAAACGGGAAACTTTTTATGCGTTTTGCCTGTTCGTTTACACGACGATGGCGTTTTGGGGACTGAAAACGCATATTTTTGAAAACGGGTTTCAAAGTGCAAATCGTGTAAACGTAGCCTTAGTCTCTGTTCTCTCTCGTCGTATTGTGTGCTCCTCCATTCCAACCTCAAACCACAAATGGCGCGACTTCAAAGAGGCTCGCATGTTTAGTCCGCCTTTTGACGCAGGAACTCTGTGATGATGTTTTCAACAGGGGCTGGCTGACTAGCGCAGGTGTGGGCTTTGGGTATCAGTGACGGGAGCCTTTGAACTCATCCGCCCTTCCTCTTATATCGGTTTCTGGGATTGTTGAGTGCTTATTTTTCATTTGGTCAGTGGTGGTCAGTCAGTTTCTGCTATACTACACTGCCCTGTTATATCACTGTGACACATTACAGTGGTCGTTCTAAGATTACAGTATGACATTTCCTATAATTGGTGTATAATAACGTGCAGTACATCAGGATATTATTGAATCACCTAAATTGATTCATTTTGCTGAATTGAGTTACTGCGTTTGAAGAGCTTCCGATCCGCATGTTACGTTACACTGTTAAACGAAAGTGATTTATGAAGGGCTGCGTGTTCGCTTATGGCTGTTAGCTACAGCACATCACAGCATCAAAAGGTTTGAGTGTTATACCCACTGGCATGTTTTCTGAGTTTTGAATAACCTGTTATTATAGGGTTGGGTTGGCTCAGTTTGGCTCATGTTTGAAATTAAATTAAATTTAATTGAAAGGCCATTTTGATAATGTTTGATAATGTTCAGTCTAAAACTTTTTTTTTTCTTCACAGGGACATAAAGAACAACATAATCACACATATTGAACCAGGAGCTTTTTATGGACTTTTCATCCTCAAAAGACTGTAAGTATTATTCTGTCTCGCTTGTGTGTAAAATGTGTTGTTGACACCAGAGTTAGTATAGTAAACTAAAAGTATGTTTACACGACAATGATTGTACTAAAAACGGAAAAGATTTTCTTTTGTGTTTTTGAAATGTTTCAAATCAGTCGTTACAAAAATAATCCCCATTCACACGGATCGGCGAAAATTACTAAAAGCACCACATTACGTCTGCCAGGCCAGCAGTAGGGCGACGTCTCTTTGTAAAGAAACCTCTGTCTAGCTGTCTCTCTGTCTAGCTATCTTGTCTGTCTGTCTGTCTGTCTCTCTGTCTAGCTATCTGTCTGTCTCTCTGTCTAGCTACGTCTGCCAGGCCAGCAGTAGGGCGACGTCTCTTTGTAAAGAAACCCTACGCGCATGCACATTCCTATAGACTGAACGTGTAATACGTATGTGCATGATGTCACTGTTTTCACAAATTCAAGTTTTTTCACAAATCACCACGAGTCCAGGTGATAACGGGATTGTTTTCAAAAACTTGCACTTTGAAACCCGTTTTCAAAAGTTTGCATTTTTAGGCCCCCAAAAAACTGCACAGCATCAAAAGGTTTGAGTGTTATACCCACTGGCATGTTTTCTGAGTTTTGAATAACCTGTTATTATAGGGTTGGGTTGGCTCAGTTTGGCTCATGTTTGAAATTAAATTAAATTTAATTGAAAGGCCATTTTGATAATGTTTGATAATGTTCAGTCTAAAACTTTTTTTTTTCTTCACAGGGACATAAAGAACAACATAATCACACATATTGAACCAGGAGCTTTTTATGGACTTTTCATCCTCAAAAGACTGTAAGTATTATTCTGTCTCGCTTGTGTGTAAAATGTGTTGTTGACACCAGAGTTAGTATAGTAAACTAAAAGTATGTTTACACGACAATGATTGTACTAAAAACGGAAAAGATTTTCTTTTGTGTTTTTGAAATGTTTCAAATCAGTCGTTACAAAAATAATCCCCATTCACACGGATCGGCGAAAATTACTAAAAGCACCACATTACGTCTGCCAGGCCAGCAGTAGGGCGACGTCTCTTTGTAAAGAAACCCTACGCGCATGCACATTCCTATAGACTGAACGTGTAATACGTATGTGCATGATGTCACTGTTTTCACAAATTCAAGTTTTTTCACAAATCACCACGAGTCCAGGTGATAACGGGATTGTTTTCAAAAACTTGCACTTTGAAACCCGTTTTCAAAAGTTTGCATTTTTAGGCCCCCAAAAAACTGTTCCATAAATTAACGGCCAAAACTCATAAAAAGTTTTTTCTTTGTTTTAGTTGAAAACAGTGTTGTGGAAACAGCCCCTAAAACTAAAACTGTAAAAAATTGTTACTTTGAATCAAAAACTTTAACTGAGATAAAATCTTAAACTTATTTTATTTCAGCTTGTTGCCAAGGCAACATTTATTTATTTAGTTTAAATTCATGTACTAAAATAACTAAAACGAAAACTGAAATACTGAATACAAGTAATAAAATGCAATGACAATAAAAAAAATTTAAGTTTTATAGACAAATTTAAAAAATAATAAAATTATCTAATAAATATCTATCTAGCTATCTATCTAGCTATCCATCTGTCTGTCTGTCTGTCTGTCTGTCTCTCTGTCTAGCTATCTGT